GGCGGCCCGCCGCCCGGGCGGCTCCGGCTCGGTGTGCACCCTCAGCGCGCCGCTGGGCTCGCTGCTGCCGTGCCGATTCACGAAGAACACATGCAGCCGGTACGAGGCGCTGGGCTGGAGGCCGGCCACCAGCGCACTCCGCTGCCGGGCCAACACTGTCTCATTGACTCCCAGCTGCCAGACCCGGCCGGCGGCTCGGCGACGCACTGAACCACGTAGTGCGCCACGACGCTGTTGCCGTCGTACCTGGGCGGCCAGGCCACCAGCACGGATCGCAAGGTGACGGACGCCAGCCGCCGATCGGAGGGCGGCTCCGGCCGCTCCGTCACTATCACGTGCCGCGCGGTGCTGTCCTCGCCGTGACTGTTGCGTACGTGTAGGTGCCGCCGTCGGTCCGTGCGCCGCCGTCAGTGTCAGCTGGGAGGAGCCGTCCGCAGCCGTTACCTGCACAGTGACATCTCCGTCCGCCGGGGTCACCGGAGCTCGGTCGGGGTCGCCAGCAGACGGCTGCGCCGGTACCAGCTCAGCTGCAGCGGCCGGTCACCGAACGGCGCCAGACACCACCGAGGCGGCTCTCTGACGCTGCTGGAAACGGGCCGGCACGGTAATGCCGTGCGGCGCGGCGCGCCGCAGCGGCTCGTCCACGCCTTTGTCGGCGCTGTAGCCGTTTTCTCTGCCGCCGATCTCGGCGACCGTCAGCGGCTACAGGCAGCCGTCGGCGCCGCCCGACGGAGGATGAGCCGCCTGTCGACGGAGGATGAGCCGCCTGTTGGCGGAGCCCCGGAGCGCGGCGGCTGAAGTGAAAGTCCAGTCCATGAGACAATAAACGGTGGCTGATCGGCCGCCGAACAGTTGAAGTCACGACGCTGCCGCCCAGTGCCACTTCCCTGTCCACCATCTGGTGAAGCCAGCGCGGCGGCACTCTGACGCGGAGCTCGGCCGAGTCCGAGTGGCGGCTGCCGGTTACCGCGTTGGCCGCAGCCTGGTCGGCTCGCACGCACTGGAACACCAGGCTACTGTAGAACTCTGCGCCGACCGTCTCCAGGCGGTGGACGGCCAGCGAATGGTTGCCGCGCGGCCAGCTGAAGGTGATGGGCAGGTCGCCGAAGGTCACCAGACACGAGACCTGCGCCCGGTCGCCCACCTCCAGAGACGCCGGTAAGCTAAACGGCGCGATCCGCGGCGGCTCGATAACGCTGACGTCGACGAGTCCAGTGGCGGTGCGCCCGTCGCTGCCGGTGGCTCGGCAGCTGTAGAGGCCGCCGGCCTCTACGGCGGTCTGGGCGGCGCGGCCGCCCGGCCTGGCCGGGCGATTGAAGATGAAGCTGAAGGATCTAGACCACCACCAGAGCTACGAGGTGTGGGTGGCGGCCGTCAACGAAGCCGGGCAGGGCGCGCCATCCCGAGCGCTGCTCTATCGGCCCAACACAAACATTGCGGCACGAAAAAATAGCCTCGTTCTCGCGACTGGTACTGGCCGAGCAGGCGCGGCCGCTACTGGTGCAGTGCCTGGCGGTGGGCTGGCCGGCGGCGCGACCCGTCTGGAGCGCCGACCGGCCGCTGGCGCAGCTAGGCACCGCCATCCGCGAGAATGGCAGTCTGTTATCAGCGACGAGCCGGCAAGCCCGAAACTGGACCTGCTCGGTGGCGAGCGACGCGATGACGTTGCGTGTGCTGGTGAAGCGTCCGGCGCGCGCCGCAACGCCCGCCGTGCTCGGCGTCGGCCGCCACTGGGTGCGGCTCGGCTGGAGTCTGCTGGGCTGGAGTACTTTTCTGCTGCCGCCAGAAAAGTCTGTCAATGGGAGGCAGTGACGCCGGGGCTCAGAACCGGGAGGGTGATCCGTCGGAGGGGTTAGCTGTGACCTCCCACCGGGGAAGGTCAGCTATCACTGGGAAGGGTTCGCTGCCACCAGCCACCGGGCAAGGTCATCCCCCACCAGGGAGTGTCAGCTGTCTTTGGGGAGGATCAGATGGCGAGGATCAGCTGTCACTGGAGAGGATTCAGCTGTCAGGAGAAATACCACTTGTATTATGGGGTTTAGAACAGCTGGAATGGCAGCCCTGTAGCTTGAGCAGACACCATGGGCGGCCGAACGAGGAGGGCACCGGGGCACCGTGACGTGCCCCCCTTTGGTTTTGACATTTTAACATTAGCCCTATGGGCGTTGCATGGAAAGAATGGGACTTGGACCAAAAGTCGGCAGTGTCCCCCCCCCTAATTGAAGGTGTTCCGCCGCTACTGGCTGACACCTGACATTAGCGCATATTTTAAGTCTTAGCACCCCAGCAACCACTCTAGCCAAGGATTTATGTTATCAATTTGATCTGAATCTTTTGAATGGAAGGGTTCACAAGGACATAGTCCCCGCTGAGAGGAACATGTTGGCATGCCCTCCACATTCTAAGCACACATACTGGGCTAGGGCAGAATTTGGTCTGAAATCATATGTACGCACAAAACCATGCATAGCCAATCCCTTACTGACAAAGGCTGGCTACAGCCTGCCAGCAGCCATAACCATACCCGTGAGGAGTTTCATAGCAGCACGCGGAGCACGTGCTGCTCCGCTACCGGGCCCTCGCTGGCTCCCGTCGAGGTATTGGGTTTACGTGGAAATAAAAACTAATTCGGACGCTCAAACATGGGATAGTGTACAAAGCCCCCGAAACACTCTGCCTGGTTGATATAGCCTTGATCAGTATATGTGTACATGTGCTTTATATGAAAAGGGCTTAATTTTCGCACAAATAGCCACCTAATTTTTGGAGCAAATCACTCAGAAATTTGGGCGCAAAATCGCTTGCGCCGAATTTCGGCGCAAGATGGTCTCACGGGCGCCCGGCGTAGTGTATGGATGTTTTCCAGTCTGGCCCGTGAGGAGTCTCATAAACAAGATATATTCAATATTAATTTTAATTCTGAAATAACTCCCATGCCTGCATGATACAGGAGTGTGGTGAATTGAAAAAATGCAACTAGGTAATGCAGCCACTCGGACAGAATTCAGCCATTCATCATGCTGTTGGTTTTGTAGGTACTCGGAGCACTCAGCAGTGTACCAAAATCATATTTTTGCTTGGGTGTCAGAGGGAAAATTGCTGACCAAAAAAAAAGGATGAGAGTGAAAATTGTCGGTCAGGTAAGGCACAAAAAGAGTGGGAAAATGATCAAAAACATTAATCTATCTACAATTGTGACAGATGTAAAGCAACCATTCCCGCAATTGCTCCTTCTCGGTGGGATTGGGAGTGGAAAATTGGGCTTGAAAACTGGAGGCGAGAGTGGAAAATGATTTGCATTTCGATGTCGTTTCCCACCCACATCTACAAATTTTGGGACACTGCGCATCAGTCAATGTACATTATGGTTCAGTCGCAAGCCTTGCTTTAATCAACGGAAAAAAATTCTAACATGCATCATGAATTAACAAAATTTTTATTCATATTTTTGTTTTTACCTTTTCTCATTATTTCATGCACACCTTAAAATCATGAAACTGTAGCGAGCAACTGATTTGAAGATAGGAAAGTCCTTGCTACATTTCTCGACATTATCAAAACATCTTTTTCCAAACATACATGATACCTATCAACATCCTGGAAATATGACTTAGCAATATATTGAGGTTCCATACCCTTGACAAGGCAAATGCACAAACTTTTAAACCAAAACAACTTTACCAACTTTTAAATAAATTTGTGACTTCCACTCCTACTCCTTTACAAAAATCATGTTGTTGCCTGCTGGATCGAAAAGCGAAAGAGCGCCCTCGCCCCTTCCGTGAGACCTGCACAAACTTACCAGGAGTCTGCAGTCAGAACACGACACCGTATTCATATTGAAAAAGGGCATAGCGTATAGAAGAGTAGCGACTAGCGTCTCACTGACCGTAGGCCAAAATATTTCACTTGATGACATCCACGCAACGCAAGGCCAATGCAGTGTAGATAGGCATATCAATATAGAAATGATATGTCCAAATATGTCTTTGCCGCGTCATAGTTGTAACGCACTGCGGGGAACTCCAGAGATCTGATTGGCTAATATTAGCCAATCAGTAGCATATGTTACTGGAAACTGTCATAGTGGAAGTAAATTGGTAGCTGTTTCAGCTACCAAACTGATGAAGGAAATAGGTAAAATTGCTTATTTTACACGAACACCTGTCATACGCTAATCAAAGTAGAGCTAATGAAAATGGCATTATCCCACAAAGGAAAGCCAATTTGCCACGTAAGTCACCATGAATAGATTTGCTGAGCTTGTCATCACGTGTTTTTAACAAAAACAGTCAATGAAATAATGTAATTTACGAATTTCTAGCACTCACATGCATATTTTCGTCTGCACACCGAATTGCGTCCAGGATATTGGCCATGGCGTATTTCTCGGGAACCCTCTGTTAGTGGAAATTCCACTATCTGGCAACTAGCCCTATGTAAACGCGGCTAATTACACCTCTGAGCTAATGCGATAAACTGTAGTTTAGAGGTCATTGCCCTGGGCAGTAAACCCGGGCAGTAAACTTTTGTTTCCTGCCCGGCCTATCAAATAACATGGCATTTTGACACCGACAGTTTCTTGGTCATAGTTTTACTGCCCGACTCGTGCTGTGCTTTAGACATACCCCGGCATGTAGGAATATTATTTACATCATTATCAAAACAGGCTAAACTATAAGTATAATTTACATAATGCCACAATCGTGCATCTGCAGACTTGCACACATTTGATTGCTAATAAAAGCTCGGTCTACTGCCTCAATGACCTGCAATATCGAGCATGTAATTTGCAGCGCATTATTTACCCGCCATAGCTGTTTATGTGGTGCGGGGAGGTCGTAAATACAAACCAAAGCGGCTGCGGACAGGCCACCGATTGCCGCCCACTGTCAGCCATATACCACCGAGACCCATAAACAGTGGCGATCCCATTACGAGCCTACCATCATCAGTTAGTGCCGCCCACCACCTCGGAGTCATATCGCCCCCGCACTCACGGAGACAGCCGAGGTTGCCGCGCGCGATCTTGGGCAGCCCCCAGAAGCCGGGCTTGCAGCGGTCGCAGCGGCGCCCTCCGACGCCCGGCCGGCAGGCGCACTGTTTGGTGACCGGGTCACACTGCGGCCCCAGGGCTCCCAGACGGTGACAGCGACACGAGGCTGGGCACCCGGCGCCCTGAGGTCCCGCCGCGGGCGTCACACCGTCCTCACAACAGCCGTGAGTGGAGTTGGCGCAGCCGGGCGCCGGCAGCGTCACGCCCGGGGCGTCCGGGGCGCCGGGGGCGTCCACGGTGTCCAGGGGCGCCACGGTGGCGGGCGCCAGAGGACAGCAGACGGCGGCGTCGGCAGAGCGGTGGCAGTAGGCGCTGGGAGGACAGGCGGCTCCGTCCGAACAGTCGTACGGTGCCGAGGTGAGCGGGTTTGTCACCGGATCCAGGCCGTAACACGGCGATATGGTGATATCTGCACGGAAAAAACCACAGGTGACGGTTAGAGCAGGTGTACCGGTCGAAGTGATCACCTCCGATGGGGACGAACACACGTTTACGTGAATAAGCGAGTCAAACACTCTATTTGGACACCACAGTTACTCGCTAGGGGTATATGGGGGAAAGAACACAAACATGGGCGTGACACTGTCAAAGGCTAGATAACAGCACCGAATAAAGGAAAACTGATTTAAATGTGTAGGATAAAATTGGAAATTGATGACAATATAACAAAAATAAATGACCAATAACAAAAAAAAAAACAATACAATAAAACAGCACTGGAATCAGCAAGTGAGAAATGATTAAGGTGACGTGTGTTGCAGTAGAGGAGTGAGCTACTTAAATATCGCGATGTGTCGAGGATATGGCTCCATCTTAGCACCGTGGCAGCCGAACGTCAGGGAGACATAAGAGGACAATAACCGAGGTCATAAAGAGCGCCAGGGAGGCAACGGTGGCCCAAGTTGGCGTATAATGTCGTAAGGTGCCTTAGTTGGTATGCCCTAACTCAGACATCCGGATAACAGCCAAGCGGAGCTGCAGGCTAGTTGTGAAGGGTTATGTCCAATTAAGGTGTTGCGAGTGGTTGGTCAGGAATCATACGCCTGCATATTGGTATTGTGCAAGGTGCAGCCGATCTTAGTGACAGCTGAAAACTGTTTTAGTGAAATGAAAAGTATCCTGAAATATAGTATTCTGCCTTCAAAGGTTTGTGAGACATTAGAACACTTGTGTAATTTCATGAATAAGTACGATAGATGATGTTAATAATGATATAAATAAATATTAAGTTTCACATTTGGACAACAGTAACACACATTTCAATGAAAAAGGAGCACTGGCAGATGGACACCTATCAGGGTGCATTCACATATCATATCGCTGCTATTTGACTCATTCAAAATACCAATGACATCCCCTTTGGAAAACACGTAAATATGCATACGAGTGCACTCGCACATGCAGGTTTGTGCTGGCACAGGTGTGGCAATGGGCAAGCGAGTGTGCAAATGACAATAAATCAAGCTTTATGGTATGAAGACATGTGGGTATATAAGCACACTGCACTGCATATAAAGGGTATGCATGGAGCATAAACGTAATCAAATAAGATAGCGTCAACAAAATCTTATGTGCATCGCTAAAGAAATCCCAGGATAAAAAGACAAGACTGGAACGAAAGCATGTGTCGCAATGTCGCGTGCTTGAACAAAGAACAAGTTGATGGCAGCATAGGTATCAAGAGTGACACATTTCGACCATATGTGCACATTCAAAGCCTTGACGATAACGTTTTACTACAGAATGTGCCAAAACATGCACATATAAAGCCAAAAAAGAAATAGGAGAAAACGCGATACCAGTTAACTTTTACGACCATTATAAAAATAAAACAAAATAACAGCCGACCTTTACCACCATCGCACTTTCCCATTATGACAACGAACATGCACGATGCACAATGCACAGTGCACATACCTATCTAACCCTCTTCCTTCTCCATGGTCGTCACACCATGGAAGAAAGGCTTCGCATCCTCAGCAACTCAATGAACCAAATATGTACGTACATGTGTTTGAACACTGAAGATCTGTCAACATAAACGATAAGCAGCCACAATATAAAAACATCGAATCTTCCGTGCATCTACGTGCTTTCATCAGGCAGGACCGTAACCACACATGCCGGCACATCAGCCCAAGCTCTCAGATCAGCTACACTCCCAGCACCTGATGTGAGTCCCTCGCAGAGGACGATGGGCCGCGGGCTGAGCTGCTGCTGTCGCTCACACGCCTCCCTCCTCAGGACACACTCGGACGGGTACAGGCGCAGGTCTGAGCCGCACACCGGCCCATCGGCCGGCGGCGGCGCGCCATCCTCGCCCTCACAGTTGAACAGGCAGGTGCAGCGAGGCAGCCGGTCCACCGACGTGGTGCAGGTGGCTCCGAACTCACAGCGAATGTCCTTGCAGAGGAGCAGGTCGGCGGGCCCCCCGGCGACTGTCTGCGGCCCTGCTGTCGGGTGAGAGGTGCGGGAGACTCACAGCGGTGAGCTCTGATGGAAAGTCGGGATGGGGGCGGTAGATAGGCCGTGACGCAGTAAAGATGGCTGGAGTATGAACTATGAAGGAAGGTAGGATTTGTGATTCACAGTGGCGTGACTGAAATTTTTAGTGTGACTGGCATGTCATTGGAGAATGATAGTTGTAGATTATTCACTCTATCATATGGGACATTAAGTGCAACCCCGTTTTTTGGGGGGTGGGGGGGGGGGGCGGCTGGAGAGCGACTACATAGATCGCGTGTCTTTCCCCAGAATTAACCGCGGATGGCTGGCTTAGGAGGCAAACAGCACACTCTTTGACCAGACTTTTCCCTTTCACTGAAGAGGAGATTGTTAGAAAAGTTAGCAGAATTCCGTTAAAGGCAAACAAGCTCGTTCATGCGTTACAAACTACCTTCAAGTAAGGAGGCACTTAACTAAACGAGCTAATTTCGGAAGTAACTTGTCCGGATTACGGAGACACGTTTACAGGAAAAGGACAAGAGAGTTGGGCAAGTTTCCTAATGACATAATCGTAGGACAAGCGAGCCGCCAACATTCCCTAAACAAAGGCCAAACAAAACTCGGACAGCCCCTCACACACACACAAGCCCCCACCCACCCCTCCCATTTCTCCCACCACAACTCGATGATGAATAGTCTAGCGCTCCCTCGGGGAACATCTGTCTACCCCGGCGGAAGCACTGGGGTGGAGGAAGTACTCAGGGAACGCATCTGGCACCTTTCCGACGGATGGCCCGACTTTGGGCCCGTGCTGGTAACGACCTCCGCTCGGCACCGCCAACTAATGGCCGTGGGAGCGGCAACCGGCGGCGCCGAGCCAGTGCCACCTGAGGTGTGCAAGTGCCGGTAACTTTTCCCATCGGGGAGCGACGCTGACCCGAGGCTGAAATGGCACTCTGACCGGAGGTTTAGACGGGTAGGGCCACTGTCTGATCGTTGTTGGTGGCTGTTTGGTGGGGTAAAACGGCTGGTAAACGGAGGCTGTCAAGGGATGTGTTTTGCAACCGTTCAAGTTAGTTCGTCCCAAGTGAGCAGTGCGATATATTTATGCTAGGAAAAATTGTTTCATGCACAAATAATTTGTCAACAAGCCTCTGGACCAAGCTTTTCCACGTTAAGTTCAACCATTGGCACGTTCACTTAGGGACCTCTTCTCCGAACCTTCGAGGACACGTGCAATCAACCGGTTGTCCTGACAGGACGGTCTACCAACTGAGGTATGCCAGCGCCCCTCATACTCACTGGAGGTGTCCTGACAGGGCCCCAGGTAGGCGGTGGTCAGCTGGTGGTCGGCCGTGCAGGCGCGCGCCTGCATCAGACACTCGTTGTTGTAGGTCACTCCGTCGGTGCCGCAGACCGGGTCATCAGCGCTGGGGCAGTCAGTCGGACAAACGCAGCGGCCCGCCTCGCAGCGGGCGCCGAACTTGCAGACCACATGCTGGCACAGGTCTGGGGGAGGAGCACGCGGGGCACGTGAACACGGGAGCACGGCATGGTGCTAGAGGTACTCGCGCTATGTGAGGTCGCATGTCAGTTGGACAGGGCACGTGAGGCACCAGCTGCGAGCACGACACACGGGGTAACAATGTCACGTGATAAAAGGTGAGCTGGGCCGACCTGCAGCACGTTTGGGTAAAACGGTGCGCGGGCCATTGACGTTATGTGCCGATTCAACAAATGTCTGGGAGTAAAGCAGCTTCATAGAAACTGACATGCGTTGAACGTGAATAACGGACAGTCATTAGTAAGAAATCCCACTGTCTATTGGCTCATATTGGTATGCCATATACGTAAAACAATGGCAAAGGAACACCGGACGTTAGTGCGTGATTTGCAGACGGTAGCAGCTCGGGACTCTACATTGATCTCTAGATGTTTCAGATCGCGTAAGTTTCGGGCTAAAACGATGATCGAGTATGACATGCAATATAGTGCGGCTAACAGCCCAATAGCCCCAATCGTCTGCATCTGTGATATTGCAGAAGTTTCCACTTTCCAGTAGCTTTGGAGGAGTAATATATAGCGTGTTCATCTAGCGTGCCGTGATATATACCTGAACCTGGTCGATAGCTTCAATGGAATCGTATCGTTAATGAGATCGTACCGTGATAGTGTCGTGGAATTTGGAAACATGCCTAATTGAAGCGTGATAGCATACTTCAGCTGCTGGTTTACCTTGTAATCGTGACTTCTCTCAGTTAATTTCAATTTCTGTACATCTCAAAACGAGCACAAAGAAGGTCAACTGTTCAACGGTTCATGAATGACGCACGTTAACCCATTAATGCCGGAATTTTTATTTTTTGATTCTTAAGTTGTCCTTAACAAATGTTAGCCACACGGGTCCCAGTAAGAAAACTGTGCAAGCTTAACCCGCGCCCAGATGGGGTCTGCCGAGCAACGCGGTCTGATGGGGGGGGGGCCATTTGGCCCCCCCCTCAGATCTCGAGAACCACGCAACATAGCGACAAGCGGTAAACGGTGTTGGATAGCCCCAACGGGGAACTACCTTGTGACCCAATTTCATTGACCTCGGTCAAACCGATGACGTCACAGGTCAGGTCAAAGGTCGAATTTTCACCGTTTACAGGCATTTCAAGAAATGCGTTGTAAAATCGTGTAAAATGCATTTCATTGAAAATCATCGATGGGGAAATGTTCTTCAAACACATATTTTGCTATTTGAGGTCACTGATACCAGGTCAGGTCACAGAGGTCAGGTCACTGGGGGGTCACAATATGAAAGTGTCGTGTGATACATGTTTTATGGTCCATTTTACATGACAAATGCGATTATGTGGGTCAGACAGACTTTAGGGCCAGCTTAGGTCACGTTTTGGTCAAGGTCAGGTCAAGGTCAGGTCAAGGTCAGGTCAAATTAGGTCAAATTTCAAAGTTGATATTTTTGCATAAAATGGGTATTGATTCGATGCAGCTCGTCACGGGGAGTTCAATGGTGGTCTCCGTTTTGCGCTACGAGGTCTAGAATTGCTAAAAATTGAGTTCAAAAATTTGACGTCATCAATTTTTAACAGTTTTTTCGCTATAACTTGGCCAAAAAAAGAGGTATCGATCTAAAATTTGGTATGTATATCGAAGAGCGCAGGGACTATCACATATATTCCGGTTTTTTCGAAATTCGGAAAAATTTTGGATTTTTTTTTAGTTTTTCTAAAAAAATCAATTTTTTTGATTTTTGGGGGTCAAAATCCCAAAATTTCGAAAATCCGAGATAGCAGTTTTGAAGCGCCGTTTTTTGTCTACACAACCACATAAAGAACTTTAAAATTGCTTGTTAACTGTAGAATTGGTGAGCGTTTCAAGATGTCATGTTTTTTGCTCATTTTTACTCGAACATGACCTCAGTTTGACCTCAATAACTCCTGACCTGAGGTGACCTGTGACTTGAAATTTTGTGTGAAGGTGTCAAATTGATGTCCGGTAAGGTACCCAAAATTTGGCGGCGCTGCGCGCCGCCGTTTTCTCGCTATTTAAGAAAAACCACAGGGGGGGCCAAAATGGCCCCCCCCATCAGGGCGCGGGTTAAAAAAAATTGTTCCATCGGTTCTCAAGTTATAAGCATGGGTCATAAATGACCCAACCGGCATTAGTATAGTCACAAATAAGGAGTCATCACGAAAACCAATTTAGCTAGATACCTTATTGTGTATACTGTATAGCGGTCTCAGCCAAACAATATTAACCCGCGCCCGGCTGGGGGTCCTGGATTTCCACGCCCTGCTGGGGGGGGGGGTGTTTGAACACCCCCTTCTAACTCGGCTCCTGGGCCACGTAGCGATACGCGGAAGGCGGCGTTCGAAAGAGCGTCAAAAATAATGAGGAAATCACTTCGGTCAATTTTTTGGTCAGGTCAAAGGTCAGGTCACCAGAGGTCATTGAAGGCAAAATTTCGCCGATTTCCAGGTCGAATGTCGACAATTTCCAATAAGCCAACGCATAACTCGGGAACCAATAGAGCTACAGCGCCACGGAAAAGCGCATTCGATAGCCCTATTAACGCCCTTTCTGAGTACTTCTCTCAGATTTGACCTAACGTCAACGGTTTTGCCTGCAGGGGGCAAAAACTGCAAAAATAGCAGATTTTTTTCGGAAACAGTTTTTCTGCAATAACTTTTGACCCAAGCCTTGTACGAGCTTACTTTTACCGGCATCGTGTTCCTCTCGTCAAGACGCATCGAATGAACTATAACTTGACCTTGAAAGGTCAACTTCAAAATTTGACCTCAGGTCAAGGTCATGACCTGACCGGAAAGGGTCATGCTGCATATCAGTCGATCCGTATCGTCGAGCTGAACACATCTAAGGCGTTTTCATCGCTCTAGCATGCCTCTATCAAAAGTTATTTGCGAAAAACTGTTAGATACCATTCGTGACCTAAGATGACCTCAGGGCATAAACAGGGGTCACGGACACCATTTTCATGTTCAGTGTGTCTAAACCACTTGTAATTCAGTGTTTGGGAGTGTTTATAATGTGTTTCGTCCAAAGGAGGCGCATTTCAATTTTATCCCATTGACTTATAATGGGGAGGTCGCAAAATTGACCTGACCTTAGGTCATCGATATCAAAATTCTGAGATATAAATTTTGTACATGCTATTGCTCTTAGCAATCGCTGAAAGTTTCAAAGCGATCGGTCACTCGGTGTAGCTATGACAGACATTGAAACTTTTTATGAGGTGAGGTCACTTCAAGTGACCTGGTGACCTGACCTGGAACGACCTTGGTCTGAAATTTTTACAACATGTGTAGAATTGATGTATGATAAGGTGTACCAAAAACGGCGGCGCGGAGCGCCGCCGTTTTTGAGATATTCGCGAAAAAACACAAGGGGGGGTGTTCAAACACCCCCCCCCCCAGCAGGGCGCGGGTTAAGAGGCACTGCATTGCAATGCTTTGCAACGTCTCATCGGCGAGGCCGTTGGTGCCGCTGGCAGGCCTGTGGTGCCATTGTTGTTAGGCCTCTGGTGCTCCATAGGCTTGACAGGCCTGTGGTTTCCCTGGAAGGACTGTGGTGCCCCTGGGCCCTGACAAGCCTGAGGTGCCCCTGACAGGCTTGTGGAATCCCTGACAGGCCTGCGGTGCCATTGCTAGGCCTGTGGTGCCCCTGAAAGGCCTGTGGTGCCTCTGGCGTGCCCGTGGTGCCCCTGCTAGGCCGCTGGTGCCCCTGGGTCCTGGCAGGACTGTGGTGCCCTTAGTAAGCCTGAAGTGCTCCCGACAGGCCCGTGGAGCCCTTTACAGGCCCAAGGTGCCCGTGCGAGGCTGGTGGTGCCCCTGTGAGGTCGATGGTGCCCCTGGCAGGCCTCTGGTGCCCCTGGCAGGTCTGTGGTGCCCCTAACAAGCCTGTGGTACCCCTGACAGGCCCGTGGTGCCCCTCGGCCGGCCGAGTCGCCGGCCCGCCCTGCGTCACGGCCCCGCACGACCGGTCCACTCATGATATCATAACATCGCAACACTAGGCCTGTGGTGCCCCTGTCAGGCCTGTGGTGCCCCTAATAGGTCGGCATGGTGCCCCCGGGCCCCAAGGGAGGTCATGAGTGACCCATATGACCCCTCTCCTTTGGATCCGCCACTGTGATCTGATCACAACCCCCAGAAATAAATAATCGTATAATCATCAAATGCTTCCCTTGTATTCAACATACGAGAAAATTGACAACACTATTGCCGGCTGGGTCATTTATGACCCAATGATATTTATCGAGGAAAAAAAGTTATCCGATGGCGACAAGAAGGGCAAAATTATACATCATGCCCTTTTCAGACAAATTTCAATGCCAGGTGGACGATCATTGAACAGATAGTAAAGTGCAAACATAATATAATATTACTTTTTGGGGCGGCGCGCCATTGCCAGTGACCGGCGGCTGTGCAGTCCCGTCGTCTTCGGCTCCAGAAACTTCACCGGACGAGTTCATACAAGTTTTATGCGGCTCAGACGCTCGTCACTGAACCCACAAATCCAACAAAACACGCGCACAAGTTCCTCAAAGTGCCACTTGCCTCCATTGAGAAAAAACATTAACCCGCGCCCCGTAGGGCTACCGGCGGACCCTACTACCCGTAGGGGGGGGAGGCGTTTCGGCCCCCCCCCTAAGATCTCGGAAAGTTACCGGCCGATTTTCAAAATTCAAACGGCGTTTGATAGCCCTACCCGGGAACTACCTTGTGACCAAATTTCATTGACCTAGGTCAAACCGATGACGTCACAGGTCAGGTCAAAGGTCAGATTTTCACCGTTCACAGGCAATTCAAGAAATGTGCTGTGAAATCGAGTAAATTGGTAATTTCTTGAAAACCATCGATGGTATATTGTTCGTCAAACACATACTTTGCTATCTGAGGTCACTGATACCAGGTCAGGTCACAGCGAGGTCAGGTCACCGGGGGTCACAATATGAATGTGTCGTGTGATACATGTTTTATGGTCCATTTTACATGACAAATGCGATTATGTGGGTTAGGCAGCCTTTGGGGCCAGCCTAGGTCACGTTTTGGTGAAGGTCAGGTCAAGGTCAGGTCAAATTAGGTCAAATTTCAAAGTTGATATTTGTGCATAAAATGGGTATCCATTCGATGCAGCTCGTCACGGGGAGTCTAATGGTGGTCTTTGTTTTGCTCTACGAGTTCTAGAATTGCCAAAAATTGAGTTTGAAAATTTGACGTCATCATTTTTGAACAGTTTTTTCGCTATAACTTGGCCAAAAAACGAGGTATCGATCTAAAATTTGGTATGTAGATAGAAGACGGTAGGTACTATCACATATATTCCGGTTTTTTCGAAACTCTAAAAACTTTTTGGATTTTTTGGCTAATATATCCAAAAAAATGCTTTTTTGATTTTTGGGGATCAAAACTCAAAAAATTCAAAAATCCGAGATAGCAGTTTTGTAGCCCTGTCAATTCTACACCTTTTATGTCTTGATCATTTTTCTGTATCTTCAAAGCTGTAGGCCTGACAGGTCTTCTCGCGAAGGTCTTTTTTCGGTCGAAAATGACAGAACATGACGTCACTCTGACGTCATTTGTGGCCAACCTATCACAGCCTCTGGAAAAATTTTTGGTCACAATGTGTAAAATTGATGCCCGGAGGGGTCCTGAAAGTTTGGTGGCGATATCTCCAGCCGTTTAGGAGATATCGACCGAAAAGTACAGGGGGGGGGCCGTTTCGGCCCCCCCCTACGGGGCGCGGGTTAAGATTTTGCTTTTGGGTCATATATGACCCAAGCGGCATTAATGGGTTAATGAAAAGGCCATAAAGTCGTATGTTGTACCAGCTCAGCCTATTGATTGTTGATCAGTATTTCGGCCATTGAGAAGCTGAAGTGTGAATGGGGAATTATTTTATGTTTCTTATAGAAAGCACTCAAAGTCTGGAGATAAGTCATTGTTCAAAACAATTTATTCATATATTGTAACATCTGACCAATTTAGCCAACTCAGCTTTACATGTTCCGTGTGATACAGCAAATTATTTTTCCGTTTGAAACGACAACACATCATTCTTCTTGTGGTAGAAGAGGTAGAGCCGACACTGATATCTTTTTAAAAAGAGACGCAGCATGAGGATTTGCGATGGAGCCACAAATTCAGCCAGGGAACATAACGTCAGTTATATCAGCTCCCAGTTGTAATATCGCCGAAACCATTGAAAAAAAATGGAGCAGCATATAGGAAGGTATAAGTTCAGCGTAGTCGCCATTAGTTATGAGTGGTGATTATTTTTCTCGGAGATGACTATTCAAGATGTCTTGCTGAACTTCTTAACAAAAACAAGCATCCCGTAGAAAACATCAAAGCAGCTTTGTTTTCACTCTAAAAGACATCTCGAGGCATACACAAGTTATTGTGAAAATAGACGAAGTAGCGACCTTTCTAGCACGCAATCTGCCAGACCTAAGTGTTGGCAAGGAAATTCGTGAGGACTGACTAAAAGGGAAGTCCTTTGACGATTATAAAAACATCGTTATTTTTCCTTTACTACATATTTCAATCCAAAGACCATCTCTACGCCGATCCCATTCCCACAGACCCCGGTGGCCAGACTCGCATACCCAACCAAAATCGCAGACCTTTCAGGCCACACCGCAGACTCTGGCGCCAATTGGGTGGGTTTCCAGTTCCGTCTGACTCCCAGGGGTACTGACTGGAAGCGTTTGACGGCTGTCAGTCCGCTCGTAACCCCACCCTTACCGGCCGGTTAGCTGCACTACCAACTCGAGAACGAAGTGTAGCAGCCGAGCCGCGGGCGCACCATTACCTGATGAGCGCCCGCCGCGCGAGCGGATGATAAAAGGCCCGCCGACGTAACAGAGGCGTGGTGCCGTCTTTGGACACCTGTACAGATGGGCGAGCGTGCAAGTGGCGACATTTGGATGTGGGCTGAGTAGTTATTTGGGTGGTGAGGTGGCGTTACAGTGGTATTACAGTGGCATTACAGAGACATGTTGTGGTGGTATTTCGCACCGATATAGTCACCGGGGAAATGTATTGATGCATCCTCTTTTACCCTAATATTCTTTTGCAAACTCCTCCAAGAGTTTCTGGTAGATGAAAGATGCTTTGAAGCACCCGGCCGTGGCTCCCTTGTTTAGATTACGGGCGAAGTTTACTTTACATTTGCATCAAAACAACAGATGAAATGAAACTGTTTTCAGATGCGAGTTCGCCAGCATTTCGTTTTAGTTTGTTTATCAATATCGTCATAGTGGGCGGTGCAGTGTTCGCGAAAAATGAATTCATTTCGTATTCCATAGTAAAACCAATTCTACTCTACCATTTCTCAAACAGTCAAATGAATTTGCATACTCTTCTTAGACTACGCATTTGCAATGTTTCAGTAAGATTCTTGTCGTTACCCGCGTCTATCGACTGCACCCAAACTTTTCTTATACTTCTAATTCACCATCCCTTACCCATAGAGCGTCATACCTATTCCCTTCACGTTACTTCCTCCACGCCGCGTTCTCCACGCTACTCCTTTCCCTACTCCCGCCGTTCCCTCCGGTGTCCCCGGTGACCTACCGCAGTCTCCTTTGTAGGCGGACGTGACGAACTGCTGCTTATTGCAGGCCGCCACCTTCATCTCACACTCGTTGGCATATGTGACGCCATCAATGCCGCACACTGGGTCGTTGTGCTGCCGGGAGACGGGTCGGGTCAGCGGGGTCACAGGCACAGGGGTCAGCGGGTGACACAGTGAGGGGTTAGAGGGGTCAGCCAGAGGTCGCAGATCCTTGGTCGATTGTTCATAGCATGGGAATAACGCCGGGCGGAAGGTTTTAGATAGAGTCTCTCTCTCTCTCTCTCTCTCTCTCTCTCTCTCTCTCTCTCTCTCTCTCTCTCTCTCTCTCTCTCTCTCTCTCTCTCTCTCTCTCACTCACTCACTCACTCACTCACTCACTCACTCACTCACTCACTCACTCACTCACTCACTCACTCACTCACTCACTCACTCACTCACTCACTCTCTCTCATGTCTCTTCCTCCCTCTCTCACCTCTATTTCACTCTCTCCTTTTCTTCCTCACTCTCTCTCTCTCTCTCTTCTCTCTCTCTCTCTCTCCTCTCTCTTCTGAACTTTCCACTCGTTTCCCTCTCCATCTCTGCGCTACAGCCGCCGAGGAAAAGGAAGGCAATAGTAAAACTGGATATGGATGGCCAGAAATGCTCCCCTAAATAGCGGCACACTTATGATGAAATAAAATCCTGTGTGGAATTGAGGCAGGATGGGGCTTCCTCACGCAATTGATATGTGAAGATAAATTATGTTTCATGCCATTAAATGATTAAATTGGCAAGCCTAGTTCATGTTAACCCGCGCCCTGCTGGGGGGGGGGGGGTGTTTGAACACCCCCTTGTGGCGAATATCTCAAAAACGGCGGCGTTGGTACACCTTATCATACATCAATTCTACACATGTTGTGAAAATTTCAGACCAAGGTCATTCAAGGTCAGGTCACCAGGTCACTTGAAGTGACCTCACCTCATAAAAAGTTTCAATATCTGTCATAGCTACACCGAGTGACTGATCGCTTTGACACTTTCAGCGATTGCTAAGAGCAATAGCATGTACAAAATGTATATCTCAGAATTTTGATATCGATGACCTAAGGTCAGGTCAATTTTGCGACCTCCCCATTATAAGTCAATGGGAGAAAATTGAAATGCGCCTCTTTTGGACGAAAGACATTATAAACACTCCCAAACACTGAATTACAAGTGGTTTAGACACACTGAACATGAAAATGGTGTCCGTGACCCCTGTTTATGCCCTCAGGTCATCTTAGGTCACGAATGATATCCAATAGTTTTTCGCAAATAACTTTTGATAGAGGCATGCTAGAGCGATGAAAACGCCTTAGATGTGTTCAGCTCGACGATACGGATCGACTGATATGCAACATGACCCTTTCCGGTCAGGTCATGACCTTGACCTGAGGTCAAATTTTCAAGTTGACCTTTCAAGGTCAAGTTATAGTTCATTCGATGCATCTTGACGAGAGGAACACGATGCCGGTAAAAGTAAGCTCGTACAAGGCTTGGGTCTAAAGTTATTGCAGAAAAACTGTTTCCGAAAAAATCGGCTATTTTTGCAGTTTTTGTCCCCTGCAGGCAAAACCGTTGACGTTAGGTCAAATCTGAGAAAAATACTCAGGAAGGGCGTTAATAGGGCTATCGAATGCGCTTTTCCGCGGCGCTGTAGCTCTATTGGTTCTTGAGTTATGCGTTGGCTTCTTGGAAATTGTCGACATTCGACCTGGAAATCGGCGAAATTTTGCCTTCAATGACCTCTGGTGACCTGACCTTTGACCTGACCAAAAAATTGACCGAAGTGATTTCGTCATTATTTTTGACTCTCTTTCGAACGCCGCCTTCCGCGAATCGCTACGTGGCCCAGGAGCCGAGTTAGAAGGGGGGGGCGGGTGTTCAAACACCCCCCCCCCCCCACCCAGCAGGGCGTGGAAATCCAGGACCCCCAGCCGGGCGCGGGTTAAAACTCGCATCGCCAACATCGATGTTTATTTATAATATCAAAGATCACCGTGCAATTATATTTTAACGTTTAATTATGTTTGCATCACAGAAGACTCTTACATCAAAAAATACTATTACCGAGAAAACACTGGGATGAGATGAAATACATCTCATTGATCTAATCCGACAGCTGTCTGACTTCGAAGTTCCGTGAACTCAGCGTTCGGCCTCATTGAAACGACGAGGCAATGAGCCGAGCAGAAGCTGTGTTCGGTTATATTCCAGGCCGACCCGCGGCGATGGTCTCATCGGTTGTGACGCGTTACAGCTGAAGCTTGACGGCTGGTTCGGAGGAAGAAAGACAGAACACCGTGGACCGCTGGCAAGAGCGTTTATTTTTATTTTTTGCTTCAGTCCGTGGCTGATGAACACAGACAAAATAATTTATACAGATTTATACATACGTATTATACAAATTTGTACGGAACTGCACGGGATCAGGGTGGTGGATAGTTGAGTAATCTGATCTGAGGTGTCAGTTTTTTTTTTTGTAGGTAGCTTAGTAGTTAGCTTAGTAGTATTTTAGTAGGTTAGCTTAGTAGTAATAGCACGCATTGCCATAGTCAATAAATTGCAATGATGTTTTTATGTCAAAAGATCCGTACTATTTCATGCTATTGAGGCAACACTCATTATGCCCGTTGTACTTACCACATTATGTTTAGAGTCATGAGTGACATCTAAAAAATACAAGAACAGAAAGCTATGTGGTTCAGACAATAAGTGAAAAAACTTGAGCTGACTTGCTGCTATGAGGTCACACTCACTCACTCTCAGCTGCATACATACTCATTACTCAACCAATTAACTGCACTCAATGATTGACATCAAATGTAGCTCAATGAAGGGATGCTCTTCACTGTTTAACCCGCGCACCGCTGAGGTTTTTCGCGGATAGCGGGAAAACCGCGGCGCGTAGCGCCGCGAAATTTGGTATGACTATTCGCTCATCAATTTTACATATGGTGTGCAAGTTTGAACCTCCTAACTTTTAAGGTCAGGTCACCAGGTCACTTTGAATGACCCAACCTCAAGTCACTTTTTTGCAACTTTGTCACCGTGCCAGAGCTACAGTAGATGTCGGAGGCCTTTGAAAGTCGCAGGATGTTATTAGGTCATTAGTAGCTACAATTTGTATATCTCGGAATTTTGATGTCGGTGACCTAAGGTCAGGTCAATTTCGCGACCTCCCCATTATAAGTCAATGGGGGAAAAATCAACTCCCTGTTTTTACCACTAAAACGGGTCGGAATGGCCCCATATACCATACATGACTTCACATACGATCAACCTTCACTACCTTGAGGTCTGTTTTGCTGTTGGGCAGCTGTAAGGTCATGTGACGTCATCAAAGGTCACCAAAGGTTTTTTGCCAATAACTCCTTACAGGAACAAGATACAGCCGCGCGGATGGTCTCATTGTGTTCAGCTCGTCAAGACGCATCGAATGATATACATGATGACCTCGAGGTCACGTGACCTGAGGTCAACCTTTGACCTTGACCTTTCGAGGTCAACATATATATCATTCGATGCGGATTGACGAGAGGATCACGATGATGCCCTTAGTTTGTTCCTATCTTGACTACTTCGAAAGTTATTCGAGAAAAACCCTCTCCATATCTAGCGCCGCCATTTTGACTTTTTCGACCCCTGTGACGTCATCTTTGACCTGACCTGAAAATGACCTTAGTAAAAATTGTAGACCTTGTCCGTGCGTATCCGATGCCGTTTACCGCTTGTCGCTATCTTGCTTCGTTCTCGAGATCTCAGGGGGGGGGCGGTCATCCGCCCCCCCCCCCGTCGGTACTAAGTTGGCGCAGACCCCCGTCGGTGCGCGGGTTAACATGTACACAATGGCTTCCACCTCTGTCACGGCTGAATGAACGCTTGACGCTACTGTACAGCTTCCCTCTCAAGACGGATGTTTGGCCTGAACAGAGTGTGTGCACTTGTCCGAGATCAAACAGGCCGGCTAATTTCGTGAACATTCTCCGGGGAGCGATTCAGACAGATAACAAGAACCTGTGCTCGATGAGCACTGATAACCTCCTGTCTGCAACTTTTGCAATACAATTCGTAAATGTGTGTTTTTTTTTACCTCCACTTGAATTTTTATGAAGACGAGTAAACTTTGCAAACATATGCACAATATGCATAAGCAGATAACGTATTAGGCAGAATGTACAATATTGCTCTATACGTAAGCTAAGGGATTCAATACTCACGATCTGCTTTCAATGTTTCTAATTGAAGACATTCAAAATAGATGTAACTATCCAGAAAGTTGCTATCAAGTTTTTTACATATGCTTTATCGGCATATTGAGATATCAGTCTCGTCCAAACACCTCCTCCCCTCTTCCTCTTCCTCTTCCTCGCCTCTCTCTCTCTCTTTCTTTCTTTCTTTCTTTCTTTCTTTCTTTCTTTCTTTCTTTCTTTCTTTCTTTCTTTCTTTCTTTCTCTCTCTCTCTCTCTCTCTCTCTCTCTCTCTCTCTCTCTCTCTCTGCCTCTCTCTCTCTCTCTTCCTCTAAAATCACTTTGCTTTCATCTGTCGTCTTTCGCAATACCAAGCTCACATTTATCTTCAAATGTTGACCACACACCCCTTCATGCTGAATACACAATTCCCCGCTTGTATGAGCATGTAGCAAGATTCCAGAGTGGTTTCTCAACAAACATTGGCCAGACAGTCGGCTGCCAGCAATCGGCCAATGCCTACAATAGCCGAAACAATGCAAAATGAATCAGCGATTGTGCCTACAAAACGGAGCTTTTTAACAACCATAATTTAAAGCATGACTCACTTTGTCATTTTTCAATTGCTCGAAGACCAGGATAGGTGTACCGAACGCGCTGTAACCATTATTGGTTCATTGGTTCATTGGTTCATTGGTTACAGCGCGCAGCAGCAGCAGGCGCGATGGCGGAGCGAGCGACTGGAGGGTAGACTAGCCCGCCGAACATAGATGCACTGCGGTACAGCATACCTATCATCACCGAAGTTTGCGGCCGCTACTACCGCCATCACCTCTACAATCATCACAGCCCCCCTCCCCCCCCCCCCAAGCACCAGCACCAGCACCATCATCACCACCACCACCACCAGCGCTATCACCACCGAGTAATCTACAGCCCGGCCCTAATGAGCGCCGACCGACGGTCTACGAGCCCGCCGCGGAGACTTTGATGTTCGGTGATGAGGCAGCTGTGCCATTCCCTCGGCCGCCCAGAGCATACTTCCGCGGCTTCGCGTAGGAGCAGCCGGACCTCAGATGTCACTGGCAGCGGGCGGGGATTCACGGGCAGGACCCGGGGAGATTAGAGGTAACTGGGCTTGTATCCGGACGATGTCAGTAATCAACCGAGGTGTCGAGTCTGGGCTAGATGTTTTGAGGATTGCAACAAACAGCTTCTCGGGACAAAGTTATCGGTAAACTGCCTTTAGCCACCATTTCAGTCACTTAGACTAAATGAATACGAAAAAGAAAAAAGGTTACCGGAGGACGCAATTCTAATTTCTACACTTTTAAGTTCTTGCGAGCATGCGTTCCTTAGATGAACGGGTGCTCACGTTTTCGCATTGTCAAATTAGCTGTGAGGTCATGGTTGACGTTATTTAGTTCATTCGAAATCATCGGTGTTCCTGTACAACAACTCTCAGGCAACTGGGCAAGGAAGTCAGGACAAACACTACGGTGCTGACTATCAGCTGCCTGTGAGTATCTGAGTCAAAGAGGGCCGAGGGGCAGATCTGACTGTGGTAGCACAAAAACTTCTTCGTTTCGACTTCACTCCCTCGGATGACTGAAAAACACACGCAGAAGACTGATCGGCTTTGTGAGGGTCAAGGCACCGTCTTTTTTCCTGTCATCGCCCTGTGGTGATGTGAGGCAGTTTGTGCAGTCAGTCGATATACAGTACACACCATGACTTACATACATACAAAACGGATCAAAGTAGAACGGATCAAAGGCAGTTCAGGCTGAATGACGTCGCCGTAACCCCACAAGTTAGGCTTTTGTTGTCAGAGTTATGGAGGATTTAACCTTTCATATACAAAACTTTGCTCTTAACGCAAAAGCAAAGCTGCTTCGAGTCAGAAAGGTTCTTGAACTGCGACATGCTGGCCTTTAAGTATCACATTTGGTGAAAATTTTTCACCAGATTGCAAAGTGCTTATTAATGACATATACAGGGTGTTCCGAAAAAAGTGTCACAGTTTCAAACGTGTATTATAAACGCTTGACAAGTATTAACGCATTAAAACATACACCATATGAAAGCTCACGTTTGTCGTTTTTCAACAAGGTTACTCTCGTATCAGTGCTATAACTCCTTGCCAGAGGGCAGAGGAGTTCCTGCGATCACAAGTTTACGCGAACTTCTTGTAGTTCACGTTCTCGATATGGGCACCACCGCGGTTGAGACACGCCTTGATTCTGGCCTGGAAACTCTCAGCGACTTTCGTCAGAGTCTCGGGACCGACTTGATGCAGGTATCTTTCGACGTTCTGCTTAAGCTGGACCAGTGTCTTGGGCTTGCCTGCGTACACAGTGTCCTTGGCAGCCCCCCACAGCCAAAAGTCTAGCGGGTTGAGATCAGGGCTGTGGGGAGCCCACTCATGGGCGGTGCCGAGAGACATGAGGCGAGCGTTGAACAGCTCCTTAAGGCATTCGATACTCTCACGCGCAGTGTGAGGCGGAGCTCCGTCTTGCATGAACCATGCCTGTTGCAGTTGGTTATCGGTGAGCATATCGGTCAGATCCGCATAGAATTCCAGGATGACCTCGCGGTAGCGCTCGCCATTGATGGTGACGGTCCGGCCATCTTCTTCGAACCAGTAGGGACCGAGGAGGCCGTGAGTGGCGTTGTAGGCCACGAAGGCAGTGACCTTCGGGCCCTTCAGCTGCTTCTCCGTTACTTCTTCCGGTGGTGAGTTACCCCAGAAAGTGTTGTGGTTGTTCACCGCACCGTTCAGGTGGAAGTGAGCCTCGTCTGAGAACCAGACTCGGTTCACCCACCGCGCGTTCCTCTCCATCTTGTTGGAGATCCATTGACACATGACTTGCCGCTTTTGCCTGTCCCGATCCGTCATCTTATGTCTGGTGGATATTATGTACGATGACAGTTTTAGCTCGTCGCATAGGATGCGTCTTACGCTGGTTTTAGCAAGTCCGAGCTGTTGAGAGCGTCGACGGAGCGACTTCTTGGGACTGGCAATGACGGAATTTCGCACGGCCGCGATGGTCTCTGGGGACTTTGAAACCGATGCTGGCCTGCCGCTGCTGCCCCTGTGAGTATTCAGGACTGAACCTGTTGTCTCAAAATGGTTAACAAACCTTGCAATGAGTTTGTTGCAGGGCAGATCTCGAGTTTCCATGTCACACTCGCGTCGAAGTCGGCGGCGGACGGTGACGTACGATTTCGTCTCGAACCATAATCGGACGATTTTGATTTTTTGTTCTGGCGAGAAAACCATCGTAGATTTTGGTGAACCGTTTTGTCCACCAAAATCGACAAGGGTTGTGAGCAACATATCTTAAGCCAAACTATTTCGGACAATTTTTACGGAAATCGCACGTGACTAAAATCGTGACACTTTTTTCGGAACACCCGGTACATGGCTGATGGCAGGACGCAACTGGGTGAATAAGTCACACAGTACACAGTTTTGAAAGCACCAAACACTGATTCCTTTCTCACGCCCGCATATTTACAAACCAAGTGGTGATCAATTATCCATTGATATAGAAAATCCATAGGACTTATTGAAATTGTTTAGCCCCAGGAAAACTACTGAGCGATTCAGGTGTTAACCGAAATGAAATTATTTTTGTACAGCGCATTTCTCAGTATAAATTTACTTATTTCGGTTTTTGTTCTGAACGTAGTCATAACGTGAACATGAATACACAGTACTAACTCTTCATTACGTTTCTAATCATCGAACAATCCATATGTTTGGTGCGGGTTAATACCACTTTAACTGGGACTGTTTTGTTCTGTGGAGAAGGTGCATTTTTATTCGTCTCATCAAAGCGCCTAACTTATCAAGCGAAAAAAAAGAGCAGGGACTCTCCGGGGACAGGATAACGCCTTGCTCTGAGGTTATCAACGGCGCCATCTCATTTCTGCTCTGCAAAGTGTCTGGATTTGACGCCCTGCCGCTAAGCTGATCACCAGACGCACCAATTAGTCACACAGGGAGCTGTCACAGCCTGTCGTTCAGTAAAGAGTGAACTGAACAGCCGCAGACAAGCGGCAGACGACCGGGTCTGATCTGATCGCGGTACCGCGATAATACAGTGCGTCATCCATAGAATAAATTTTCCTATAGTATTTTTGCCAAACAAATTTGCTTCTTGGCTAAAATACACAACAGAACATCTGACCAGCTAACGTCCAAATCGCTTCTATAAGACGATGAGACACGACAATCCCTCTCAGAGGCTCATGCTGGTATTTTAGGTCCAGTCTCCGGGGCTGTCATGCTCTGCAGACAGCGCTAAGCCCGCCATCCGTCTTGCGGGCACAGCTCGTCTGGGCGTGGATCATAGGGAGATGCCAGCGCATACATCACGAATGTATGTGCAGGCGACAAGGGTGCCCCACGGCTTACTTGTAAAGGCGCAGGTCTATTCTGCATAGAATACAGCTTACATAAGGACATATGTTCAGAAACGCCTATGTGATACGACGCTTTGGATGAGAGATGGAAATAACTATCCACATGATGGTCACATACTGTTCTGCGGGATTGTTACTAAATTAACGTCTCCTTGCAGGTCGTATGGCAAAATTAGCAATCACACCATGGTCTTCAACCAATAGGCATTGCACGAAGGTGCCCTGTAGCAAAAATAACGCAATAAAAATAACACCTATTTGGAATAGCGTGGTAGCCTTAGAAATAGGGTTCATCTTTATCATGTCCTTCTAGAAATAGCTATTGCCAATCATAGGCAGCGTACCACTGACTGATATTTGAAAAGAAACATATATCTGATCCCTGGTGGCTGCCCAATGTTTGCCTTCCATGATGCGGGTACTTAGACCTTCCCGGGGCAATGTTTGCCTTGATCGATAGCTGCAAGCTGACCGTCCGTGACTGATAGATGGCCAACTCGTGTAGCTAGGAGAGTATACGAGTAAAATGGGGACACCGCACAGCGCTGCAGCGACTTCCACGTGGTCGTTGTTCAAAATTTCATCGTCCCCCAAAAATATCTACTTTTGTTGTTCTATTTGCAAAGTCGCCTTTTTAAATGAGAAATCAAGTGGCTTTTCATCAATCGGTGATACGTTGGATGCTTCCGATCGCGATGGAATGGAAAGTTATAAAAAAGAATAGTAAGTGGATATACATTAGTGTATATTTGACGAGTATTGGGCAATCACCATTGAAAAATGGTCGCGACTACATCGCCGGAGACGTTCAAGAGGCTCTATTTTTAGCGCAAATACTAGCGTCTAGGCGTCTAATTCAATTTTCGTCCCGTAGTCTAAGGCAAACAGCGCATCCAAAGGCTGCGGAGAGTGGCTGTCTGATTCCCGAATCTTTTTAGCTGTCGGCGGTATCACCCCATCTCTTCTGAATCGGTCGAGCCACAGTCGAGCACATTACCGCTGGGCCGGCGGCAGAATTTTACCGCCCCTCTCCGCCACCGGGCGGGATGGGGAATTCGCAGAGTCCGGAGGCGTTTCGGCCGGAGGGCGGCCGCCGCCCGAAGATGGATTCCCCGCGGAACAATGCGCCAGACTTTTTGCCGGCGGCAAATCTTGTCGGGCGGGCGGTCGCGCCCGGCGGGCCGCGCACGCTCCGCGTCATCAGTCCGCTGGCATCGGCGCTCGGCGGCCGTCCGCGCGGGCCTTCCGGCCGCCTCCCGGGCACTTCCGGTTCAGTTCCGGCGCACTTCCGGTCCGGCGATCGCGTGCCGTGCCGCTGCCGGCCCCTCTCGGATGAACGGCATAATCGAGCACAGCACGGCGGAAGCTGTTGGCCAATTAGCGACACTGGACAAAGGGGAGCCCTAGCTGAGAGAGAGGGGAGACGGCTGAGAGAAGGAGGGAAATGCGAGCACGGAGCGGCGAAAGGGGACAATAGATGCCTAGCATTCATACAGCATGGCGAGACACGAATGATGCAATGTGTGATAACTTTTGTGTAATGCAGCGGAAAAGCCCGAGATCTTAAGTGGAAATACACATGTCACTGAGGCAGCGAGTAGCGACAGTAAGGAGTGCACATTATCGCGTCTGTAGAAAGCTCTCCATTATACCTAGAGCAGCTTCGCAGAAAGCACATGTCTTCGACATGGGATGCTTGCTTTTACAAAAGGTATTATATTTCCACAGGATATATCGTATTCGTTTTTTAATGCAGTGTCAGTCGGAAAATTGATACTAAGTTACGCAACGGCAAAAAAACGCAAAACATTTCTAGAACAATAACCGTCATAGATGTTTTCTCGAAAACCTTCGTGCTCACAATGCCAGATCGCCGCAGCCTACAAAAGCGTTACCGGTTGTGCAGCTCGGCGCTCGCTCCCTTCGGTTCGTGCCACTCTCGCATTCCTTGCCAACCCTCCCCAATAACACAGAGGCCAACCCTTTCCAATCCAGCCATCCGGCACGGAACATTAAGCCCACTAAGCGAAATAAAACCTCCCAATGCTCGAACCATGCTGTTATAAGGACGCGGCCCGCGCCCTGTAGCCGAACTGGGCCAGAAGACGTGCCAAGACCCTATCTTCCTGCCAGGAACGGTAGTGCAGTCGAGAACGGGGTGGGAGCGGACGGCGCCGGGGTACGGCAGGAAATTCAGAACACGTTTCTCGCTTCCCTCTCGTAGAATTATAATCAGCCTGACATCCGGTAAAACAGTGAGAACCTGTTCAGATTCATACTGATTCATAATACAATTATAAAAGGAATCTATAAGACGATGAAATGCAAATGTATCAGCTTTTTATTTAAAAAAAGCTACATACGTTGCTGAAAATTAATACCAAGGTAACACAAGGGACCAGACCTGAGATGAATAGATATCAACTTCGGAAGAAAAAAGCGACGAACAGCTGTGAGATGATAAACTTTTGGCGAACTGATGCGGTGTTGCTCATTAAATTTGAGAACTAAGGAGTTTAGGTTGTGTCAACTTACAGTAATTACAGGCCCTAATTAGACATACAGAATACAAAATGACAGCGCAATTTCATACCCGCTTGGCAAAGGCAACAACCTGGCTAATCTGAACTAGCCTGAATGCAAACGAATGTCGATATGAGGCCCAGCGGGATCGTTCTAAGGGCTTAGAGCACTCGATGGCTATGCAAAACCATAAAATGCACTCCCCAAAGTTGAAACAATCTTAATCAAGTTGGACGTCAGGCAACGTAACCAGATGTAAATGAGACTTGGCTACTCTTCGAAATATCGTTTTATACTAACATTTGACCACTTAGAAGGGATAGTTTTATCTTGCTTGCCTATTTATGCGCCAGGTCAGCGATACACGCTATCCAAAGGAACCCCACATCGCCATCTCACGGGCCCACGGCCCCCTCCGACGTCCCGTGAGCGGCGCAGACAACCCAACACCGCGCCTTGGCGGTGAGATCGCGGGCGCGCTGTGAGGTAATCGACTTCTGCTGGGCGGGCGATGGCGCCCAACAGGGCCGGTATCGCCCATCGGCCGCCGGTCGGCCACTAATTATCGGCCCAAAGTGACACGGCACCGGGAGCACGGCGGGCGGCGCGGGCACGGCTTCGATCGATCAGTGGGGGGGGGGGGGAGCGGCAGAGAGCAGAGACGGATCCCCAGAGAGACCGCGCCGCCGCTTCGGACTCTCAGCGCTCGGCTGTTCCTTCTGACTTCTTCGCGTCTCTTGTCTAGGTTTTTGTATTCTACCATGGTCTCTTACTGACTCACGCTCATGTCATTGTCACATCCACGTAATTGCTTTGTTTTTCTTATCCATTTAACAAATCATACAAAACCTACATATGTTATACGGAAAGATGATATCGTAGTTACAATGTCATTACATATTATATGACGCGCTTACAACTTTAAGTGAGAAATGATAACGGAAAGAAACCAGAACCAACAAAATAACCCACCGAGAGCCCCACCACCGCCATCTCTCACTCCTCCACTAAAACACGGAGAGAGACGGCGCCGAAAGCTGGGGATTTGTCCGACTCAACAATAGCGAAACGGCCAAGAAAGAAGAAACACTGCACCGCCGGCGGCTTTGCGTCATTGTTGAGAGAACGCACTGACGTCTACAGACATCGCCACCTCTTCACCTCAGGCAGACACGCAGACAAGTGTGGGTACAAGAGCCGGTACTTACCGGTACACAGGTACGCGGACAGGTGCAGGCCGCCTCCCCGTTCGGTCGACTCTCACAGATACCGTAGTGAGGACAGTGTTTGTTTTCGCATCCCTCTGAGGAGCGGTCAGAACACTTGTCAGACGTCATGCTTTGCAGCAACGCTGTCATCGGATGACTAATGGTATACGCGATGATACATAGATGGGCCGAGACTGGGCTTAGCAGCAAATGACAAGGGATATTTTTAGAACGTTGTCTGATGTGTATGCTGTAGTAAACATCCCCTTATCGGCACTTAAGATTTAAAGGTGACAGCACATGCTATGCTATAAATATTAAATACGTCACCCCAAGAAACGAACAATCAAGTGATGCTGGTTCCCAAAAATAGTTTGCATCAATAGCAAAACAGAACCAAAAGAATAATCACGTCAAAGTGCAAACAACAGAGCGATAAGTGAAACAAAGACTTTGCAATTCCAAAGTGAAAGAAAGCGAATGAGCTGCAATAAAATAAATTCAGTCATGCCTAAGATTCCTGAGGCTAATAATCATGCTTCTGCAGAAAGATGGCATCTCAATAGTTCTCATCTATCAACTAGCTCCTTTTTCGTTGATCAAAAGCTCTTACGTACATTTCGGGTAAGGGTGGCTAGCGAACGGGCCCCGCCGAGCTTGACACAGCCAACAGTTATTGCAACACGCATGTAGACAAAGGATTACACTGCCCTACTGAAGGCCTATTGTTTCAATTCTCCAATCCCCCGATCAGCACAGTTGTAAGCTGATAGCGGATTGATAGCCCACGTGCAATTTAGCAGAACTGCTTACGAAGCATTAAATCCATTCCTATCTAACAAAAGACGCCGTCCAGATCATCTTTCGGAACGCCAATAGCGACGTCAGCTCCTTCAGCCGCCTCATCCAGCGAACCTCGGCCACCTTTACACCTTTCCACTACTCCCGGATAAGCGGCTAAGGGCCTGACCCGGATCCCGACTCCCTCCCCTTCCCACCCCCCTGTCCAAGCTGATATCGGGCTCCCCACGTCCCACTATATTCTGGGAGACAGCGGCGCCGACCGGCTCGGGCCGTCCGGGCTGGCCCGCCGCGCCGTCGCGTCGGCCGCCCAGAGCGGGGCAGTGGAGCGCGCCATACGTGCCGAGACTGCGACACCGGCAGCCCTGTCGGCTGGGCTCAGAGTCCTGGTTTGGCCGGACAACCGACCAATTGAGGACAGTTCCGAGTCCGGCGCGGCGACCGGTGACCTCCTGAGCACACCAAAAATGGTTGCAGGGGAATACTGCGGTCGCTACGCATGACTGCAGGTGCTTCGTGGACGGATGAGCTGACTAAACTTGTTTCACTCAGCTAGTTCTAGCTTATTTAGATTATCATCAACAGACATGTGTGGCACAATCTGAGATAAAATCATAGAACTAGAGAAAAAAAGAGGGATATAGAAGAAATAAGCACAGCTATCAAAATATGTATACCACAACGCACAAGTGTCATGCACGCGGATGCATGCGATAAGCACAGAGCACTTGAAGAACATACCGTCACCCGGCATTGGCAGAGTCATGTCGATTTCAGGACTCGGAGTGAGACTAACGTTCGCTAGAAACGGGGCACCGGGGAGGGCACGTGAGAATAGGCAGCGCTACTTGCAAGGCGTTAGTCGTCAACGGTGGGCAAATCACAATTCAAAAACATGGAAGTGTAAGTACAAGCATTCCTCTTCTTCCCGCTATATGGACTGAAGCCATGTGAGCCATGAGCGTTTTATGTACTGCACCGATGGAAGGACTTTGGGTTACTCGACTAAATAAAAGCTACTTACGCAAATGAGCGTCTAGCCCCATAATTTCTCGATAAATACTAAATTTAGGAAGCTGCTGAGCTTGCACCATGATCAAGTGCCGAGCATATCGCAAGAAACTGGTGACTATCCGATACACGCATGCCCCTCTTGATCATTATCACCCTCTTCATCATTATGACATAGTGTTCACTAGAGCTTTCACAGCACCCCTTCAACTCCACAGGGGCACACGTTCCCACTTACTGCAGAGTCCGATGTACTGCACCCGCAGGTCCAGCCTCTTCTCGCAGGCCTCCAGGCGCAGTTTACACTCGTTATTGTACGAGGTACCGTCAGTGGCACAGACGGGACTGTACTCGTCTGAGCAGCGCGGACAGTCACAGCGGGGCTCCGACCCCGGTCCTTCGGAGCGGCATACACCGCCGTACGGGCAGCGGTGGGTGGCGCACGGGTCCTGGGTGCCTGAGGGAGAGAAAAGAGAGGTGAGAAGGGCATCAGAGGGCAGCCGTGGGTGGCGCATGGGTCCTGGGTGCCTGGGGGAGAGAGGTTAGGGGGCACCAGAGGTCAGTGGCGCACGGGTCCTGGGTGCCTGAGGGGGAGAGGATAGAGGTCAGAGGGCATCTCAAGACAGCGGTGGGTGGCGCACGGACCCTAGGTGCCTGAGGGGAGAGGTCAGAGGCAGCACATGAGAGGTCAGGGGTGGGTGACGCATGGCGCACAGGGTGTCTGGAGAAAATCAACGCCAAGAAAACAACAGCTTACTTTATCATGCAGCTTATAATATCCATGCATGATGAGAATACAGATGAGACATTTCACCCACGCAGTCATTTATTTCGAAGCGATGTTACTAACCACAAGAGAAACGTTTATCCTCAATGTTGTTGAGCTCCACAAACACTTGAATAAAGGCCGCAGAATAGAGATGCAGCTCAAGATGACCCTTGGGTACTTGTGGTCTCTTCCAGATGCATTGTTTGGAATGAATTACTATTGAGATTCTACTTGGTCCAAAAATACGTAACATCCAATGACGACGTAAGGCTCCTAAGTGCCAGAGCTCTACACTCTGCCTCATTTTAGGCATTGCCTGTTTGGCCCGCGACAAAAGATCGACCCCGCGGGACCTCATTTCACCAGGGCGCGGAGCTTTTCCGACCGGAGCTGCCGCCGAGCCGACCGGCCAGCCGGCCACGATAAATAATAGCAAACTGGCGACATCCCGCGGCCAACTGGTGCGATTACGGCTGTCGTGACGTCACAGTCGCTGATATTTGCGCCCTCTAATTATCCATGGCGAGCCGCAGCCGACCGGCTTATTGGCTGTCCGGGGGCGTCGTTTCGACCCAGTCGAGCGTGGCAGCGACCCTGCAGCCGGCGTCCCGACACAGAGGTGCTGAGACCGACAAAATGGTTCGGTCAATAGGTTCAGAGTCGGCTGAACTGCTGGGGGCGGGGGCGGGGCAGGGGCGGCTGCGAAGTTCGCGTTCGACGGCCCGCCCCGGCGCGATACCGTCTAATTTGCCACGAAGAGCGCGGCCGGAGCAGCTGTAAACAGGCCGAGTTATGGACAGGTAAATTCGGCCAGCACTGGCGATCACGAGCGGCACTTACACCGCATCAGCAGCACCGCTGATTTACGCTGATTGAGCCCAGCGTCAGCCAAAGTGACCCAAAGTGCGCACCAAACTGTGCCAGAGCTGCTGCGGCAGGTAGGCAGCGGCGATAATGATTGGCAGTTAGCAATGGAGGGAGGGACCTGTAGGCGGAGTGGGCAGCTAGCAGGGCTGTGATTATAGGCCAATGTCACAAAAGGGGTGATTGGGCTGTTATGAGTTTGTTCAGGAGTCAAAACAGAGCTGAGGTGGTCAAAGTTTTTCGGTCACTGGACAGACAGTGAGATCGACAGCATGCCACTAAAAGTGAGGTTCGGGAAAACTGTATTACAGGCACGGTACATTTAGGTATGTTGCGTGGCAAATGAGAAAACATGCAAGCAAAGTATCTATTCATTCGTTGTTGTTTTTTACTTGCATAAGAAGCAGATTCCAACAACACTTCGTTGTTCTTTGAAATTCCAGTTAATGTCTTTCCAAATAATAAAAAGCTTTATGTCGCAGCCAGCCAAAATACAAATGTGAAGTAAGTAGAATAACATGAAAACCCTAAACGTCCTGACATTCGCGGGGTGGAGCAACTGTCCTGCACATTTTGCCACCGTGCAAGCTCGACGAACAGAGGCGAAACGTTAAGGCCCGTCTCAGGACTTCATCAGTTCCTTGTTCCGCCGCCGACGGACGAGCGAACCGGTCAGTTGGCATCGCTCGGCCAATCTCCGGACTCTGCGGATTTCCGCCGAGTGTTCTCCAGTAATCCTGGACTGAGGCGCTGAGCAGTGTCGACCTGTTCACTGCTGAGCCGGGAGGGAGGTGGGATCCGGCCCTGCAGTAGCCGGCAGCGTCAGCTGATTCAACTGGAGACTCAATCTCAACTACTGACCGTCCATCGACCAACGTTTCCGCTTTCTGAAGCTCCAAATCTCAGCCTCTAGCCTCCTAATCCGGGACTTGTAGTTGACACCACAAACACGTTCCCTGATCTCCGCTCCAATCTGACCTGACCCGACCTTAACACCAACTCTAGACAGCGGCTCAGCCCAGCCATCTCCAATTCACTGCGGCAGACATCATGCACCCCGGCCGGCCGGTCCGATCCCACGGCGTCTGATAGGGTGACACGTGTCGACGGACTGCCACCGTGGACTCCGACCCTGCCAGATGGATGATCGGCCCGGACGCGCCGCCGCCAAGTTGGCAGGGCCGCTCGTTTGGAGCCCTGCGCCGCTGGCCGGCCCGGCTGCTGAAATGACCTCTGGTGTGACGACGGAATACGAGCGTCATCAGGGACCCGAGTTCTGACGAGCCCTGGCCGGCTCTGACAAACGAGCTATCACGCTCTGCATAAGTTCGGATGGCCGAGGTTGGAACCTCCGCGTGCCGGCTGGGAGAGGCTTTAAATTATATTTCGTTTCAAGAGCTGTTGCTTAACCCTATTAGTGGCAGGGGGGGGGGGGGTTGTTTTTATCCAGTATCCACCCCTCAGTTTTTCGGGAATATCTCCGAAACCGCTGACGCTACGATGCTGAAATTTTCAGACTTTTCCTAAAACTAAATTGGGCACATTCCCTGAAAATTTCAAGTTCATAACTTTACCAGGGGCGGCTCCAGAGCACTGGGAATTGGGGGGTCCTATTCGTGAAGCGAGTCATTTGGGCGAAGATCACGATGCTGCACCAGTTTTACGAACAGTGAATGAAAGGTATCATGTGATACATATACAGTTATTGTGCATCCTCTTTTGACACGTTTTTGCTATAATAGGCGGATCCAGGCGTCCAAAAAGGGGGGTTATGTTTTACCTCCCAACATAGGTGCCCTGACACCGCCTATGCATGACCAATACAATTGTAGTCGTTCTCTCATAAGAAAATTGTAACATAACAAGACCATTACCACCCTTTTTAGAAACAGTACCAACAAAAACCTTATTTACTATACTTTTTGTGTACCCCCAATCTCAATGATCTGTATCCGCCTATGATTTTTGAAAATGCATAATTTTAGGATCCATGTGAATTCCTGGTTCATTCTCTATCGATCGGCAAAAGTTGCGTTAAGATTGGTTCAGAAACCTGGCCGTGATAAACAGTCTAAAATGTATCTGCAATTTGCCTGTTTTTACCCCCCTCTACCCCCCTATTGACATTTTTTAATTTTTATTTTTTAGAAATGTAGATCACGTTGAGCGAAATCGAATGCCGTTTGAATTTTGAAAATCGGCCCGTTAGATCTCGAGATATCAAGGAGGGGTCGTAAACAGCCCCCCCTGCCACTAATAGGGGTAGCCAGGAGCCTGCCACTAATAGGGTTAACCCTCGCCCGCACATGGGGGGGGGGTGGTTGCCACCCCCCCCCCAGGCAGTCTTTCTGCTCTGCACTCAACATTTTTAGAGCTAGAAGGCTGATTTTTCGTATAGCTGCTCGTCTATCCTTTGTCGATGTCCACTGAAAATTTTAAGTTTCTGTGATTTTTGGTTTCGGAGATATGACCTTGTTTTTCAGGTCATGTCATGACCCAAATGGCCAATTCTCAACATCTTGCGTTTGCCATGGGCCTTGTGAGCTTTTGACACCCTGATTTCGGCCTTTTTTGCCAGTCTTACCTCCCACCTATCATGGAACATGTTGTTCGACGATGTACAGGGGTCAAGGTCAGGGTCAAGGTCAACCTAGGTCATCTAAGATAATTGCGTTTTAGGCAAGCTGAATTTACTTTTTGTGAATTTTTTTTGACTGCATTTTTGGTAAAAGCTTCTCAAATCATGATTTCATGTGATATGGACCCAAAAACAATCGGTGCACACATCAGTATACACACAGACACACACAGACATACAAACACATATAATTGACCTTGACCTAACTTGACCTGAAATGACCTCAGCAGCAAAATTCTGGTCGGATAGTGTGACAAAGAGGTTCTAGCTGGCTTGGCACCAGAAAACAGCATCGTCATCGGTATTTGATAAGCAGCGCACTTGATATCCAACGGTGACCCAAAACAGCAACATTTTTTAGTTTGACCTGACCTGGAAGGTCAATGACTTAGGTACCTGAGAAGGTAAAACTGGGTATCGTTGGATTCGTCTCTTCCCAAAGAATCTTTTTGGTCTTTACTGCTAAGCTCTATCTCCAACAGGAACGAAATGGCGCGGGGGGTTGGCAACCCCCCCCCCCCCATGTGCGTTCTAGGATGGGAAAATGGCATGTGCGGGCGAGGGTTAATTTCTGTATGAGGTGCCAAAAGCAATGCTCAGACTAAGTGGTAATTTGGTAGATAATCTTAGACTAAACGATGAGTGACCACGTTGATAGTCTAGGGAAAGCGGAAAGTCAACAATTTTCCCAACTTTTCCCGACATCGTTCTTTATACCGCGCCTCTTATCTGTGTGCTTCACTTCTCACACAAAGAATCGTGAGAGAAGTGCCGAAATTGTGAAAAAGTATTCTTTCACATTGAAAGAACACTTGTGTCACGCTTGTGTCTGTGTGCTCCATTATCAATGTCCACTCAAACCACAGTCGCTGTCATCCCAAGGTGACAACACTAGAATCAAAGGATGTGCCATCATCACCAGACTGCCCCCTACCCCAGACATGGTGTGTCAAAAGTGGAAATAGCCGCCCGGCCTTAGTTCGCCAGCCTTGTCAATAGATGGCAGTACCACAATATGGGCAGCGGATCGTGCAATTGACGTCAAATTTTCGTTATCTGCTAAGAATTGAATGGCGAATCTTTTCATGCAAGAATCAAGTAAATCGGTCCACAACTTTTCTAGCAACAGAGATATGAAGTCAAACACCCTGCCAGAGCGGCGGCCGCTACGCGCCGCCTGGGAGAC